GTGTGTGTGTGTGTGTGTGTGTGTGTGTGTGTGTGTGTGTGTGTGTGTTACTTGCATCTAATTGATTGAGATGATAAATTTGGAGATTTGTGGTTTGTAGAGACCAGTGGCAACATTTATTCTGAAAGTGTCAAGGACTGCCACCTCCATTTATAAGTCTTTAATAAATGAGAGTCTAAAATACTCTAACTAGAATCCCAGGAGAGACTACAAGCCAAGAATTCCTGGCTTACAAAATAATGGGGGCCGATTCTTCCCAAGTTACCACGCACAGAAGCAACACTTGGCAGAATCTGAAACAAAGGATTTTGATCCTGTTCCTACCAGTGCTTCCAGAGAAGGAAGCAAAACAAAAACTAAACAAAACTGGTAGCTGTATCTATACCGAGCACCTGGGCCCCAGTGGGAGAGAATCCCACCCAGCTCTCTGCCCAGGAAACTCAGCCCCAAATACCCACGTGCAGGGTAGGATATTTCTACCCTTACTTATTTTCTTTTCTGCAGTTCTATTTCTGGGGGGGAGAATTTCCACATATAACTCAGCTGCTGCCCTGACACCATCTTCATTGAGTAATTCATGGTGATGTCAGACCAGCCAGGCGCTAAGGGAAGCCCTGCTTTTATGGGTTGGCTCTTAATTTAGGAATTTTTATTTTTTGACTCTTCCCTCCTCCCTTTTTTTTTTTCCCTGCTGGACGGCACTGCTTTTGAGGCAAGATGCCTGAGTGGTGAAGTGTTGCTTGCTTTTGAGAAAAGGAATTCCTGCTGGTTGAGAGGCAAATGGTTGAGTGAAGGCAAAATGTGGGCCTTTAATAGAACATCTTAATTGGAGAGCTGGCTCAGGAGGAAGGATGTGTGGGCCCGCTGTGGGCTCAGTGGCTCCTGGTACAGGCCGGGGCTGTGATGACAAGATGGGCTGGGGACACTGGGTGTCACAGCCACTCCCCGGAGCCTGCAGAGCCACCCGCCTCCTCCCTGGCACCTGAGGAGCTGCATCTAACCCACGCGGCCACCTTTCTCCCTTACTCCTCAGCTGCGAGAGACAGCGAAGGCGAGTTTGGCAAAATTCCCCCGTAAAAGTCTAATCCAAACATCATGTCCGCTGAGCTCAGCGGGGTGACTCATGCGCAGTGATGTGTGAGGCCAGCAAGCAGAGATTAGGATCTGGCCCGGCCCGCCAGCCTGCCCTGCACTTCCTTTGATCAGCTCTGATGGGTTTTAATTCTGCAGAAGTAACTTCCTGCCAGAGGCAAACAGCTTTCGGTGGAGGCCGGAGCCGCGTCTACACTGACCTACTTGTCAGAGGCCAAGCAGGCGTGTGCTGATGGCAGAGGGATGACATCCTGGCTCCCATCCCGCCCAGAGCTGAGAGGAGAGCCTCTCTCTCGCTGAGGTGCCCATGGTGACATCAGAAGCTTGTCCCTTGGCCAACACTAGCAAAGCCTTGGGTTTCGGCAGCCTGGGCTTGGAACCTGCTGCTGGCATTGGTTAAAATCACTAGGTAATAAAGAAAACGCCACTCTCTAGGAGGTTTTTAGTTTTTTTTTTTTTAAGCTGGGACATCTCCAGTGTCTGGCACAAAATGAAGCTCTCTCTGGGTTCTTCAGAAATACCATTTCACATCTGTTTTGCTCAACACATTCGGAGTATATTACTTTCTGGAATCATGCTCTCTCCCTGCTTGGTCGGAATGTGCTTGCCTCTCCATTCTTCCAAATCCCCTCAATCAACGCTGCCAAGCAGAGCACCTGACATCGGGGCGTGGGCT